GACATTGAACTAATTTACATTAATTAAAGGAAATTATGTCAGAAACAACCTTTTAATATCACTTTTAAAAAAAAAAAAAATTGGTCACAAAACAACCTTTTATCAAAATTTGGTCAAGTACCTTTTGCCCAAGTTCTAGGCAAAGGACATCGACTTCATTTTTTACTTCCATTTCCATTTCTGACTAACTTACTATATTTTCTTTATTCTTTTGCATGATAGTGATCAAAAGAGAATAGAATAGTCATAAAGCTATTCACATATTAATTGATGACTTTTTTTTTGGTAATCAATCAATCAAAGCCTTAATCCCATAAGTGGGGTTTTTTTGGTAATAAGTTGTAAAAAACTTGTAGAGAAATTAGTTCTTTACTAAATGCTTTAAAATTTTGTTTTTTAATTTATACACCCTCCATTTTTAATAGTTCCAACCCACAATTTTTCACGGTATTTAAAGAAAAGTGGGGTTCACATAGTTTAATACACTTTAAAATGGGGTGAGAGGTTGTTAGGAGTATAATTTAGTGGGTCATGTGCTTTAAATAAGGGAAATAGTACAACTTTTCCCCAAAATAATTTTCCAATTACAGTGTGTTGCAAGTATTGTGACAATTCCCATTTTAGGGAAGTGTTGCAAGTATTAAAAAACGGAGGAAGTATTATATATTTTGACATTGTACGTATGTCCATTTCCCAAACAAAAATTACAGCGGTGTCCTTGTATCCAAAAAATTTTACCTAGCGGCATCTGACACTTGCATACATATTCATTTCCTACACTCTTCTCCACCAAACTGCCTTCTAACCCTCTCTATTGCTCTTCCCAGATTTGCCTCATGTAAAACAAAACATAGACTTTCTTTACACTTGAATAAGGCAACAGCTTCTAACTAACTAGATGATCAAAAGTAGGTCTTCCTAGTCTAATTTCAGACTTATTACTTATTGCTATGAAACCAAGAATTATGATAGAAAAGAAGATTAATTACCCTTAAGAAGCAACGCTCAACAACAGATGCAGCAATTTCAGCGCCAAAACCTCCTGTTACTGGAGCTTCATGACTAATCTGTAAATTTTACACCAATACGAAAATGAGATATTGACTAGTGTAACCAAAAAAATAATCAATAAGAAGAGAATTAACTCACAAGTAATCTCCCAGTCTTTCTGACAGAAGCTTCTACAGTGTCCTTATCCCAAGGTATCAGAGTTCTCAAGTCAATAAGCTCGCATGAAATTCCATCCTGCAACATGAGCATATGACATTAAGTAAAGAGGTGTCTCATTATTTGGCTACAACAATGCATCTCAGTTCAATTATCAGCACAATAGCATTTATCAGATGAGAAGTATACAAGACATTAAAGCTAGAAATTCCTCAGTCCCTGTCAACTGAGAGTAACTGATCCAAATCTCCATAGCATATGCTAGCCATAATTGGGTTCTTCAGACTTAGGAGGTAGTGCACAGGCAAAAAATCATCAATATATATATAATTTACAATTAATTTTTTCTGTTAGTTTTTCGAAATAGTAACTGAACTCCCACAATGTTTCCCAGCACAGTCATGCCTTCTTTAAGTAGAAGCATATCATGTCATGTAACAGCAGTTTCAGCCCAGGATATGGTGAAGAATACACAAAAGTTGTATTGAAAGGGCAACTAGGCACCAAATTTCCAACTATCTCAGCTATATATCCAATATGTAAATATTAAGTGATCAAATCATCTGCTAAAGAAAAAAATTCTCCCCTTGAAACATAAATGTAATAACTAGTTTTAGAGAAATAAAATAACCAAATGAATAAAAGGTAAAGAACAATAACACAATTCTGTTAACATGATAAGCATATACCTTTTCTGCCTCAATACAGGCTTCCTCCATGATAGCCAGTTGAGCTCCCCAACCCACAAGTGTAATGTCATTTCCTTCTCTCATAACCTATAAATCAGATTAAATAAATTTTTATTTTTTTGTCATCAACAAATTTCTGAGGCAAACAACAGAAGAGTAAAATCATACCTCAGCATGTGACAAAGGCAACATGTAATCACACTCAGGAACTTTCTCCACAGCAACACGGTAAAGAGACTGAAACTCCAATACAGCATGACTGTTAATTGATCTCTATCAGGTAAACTATGAAAGCTAATAATACAATGGACATGCCATGCCTTAGGTTCAAAGAAGACAACAGGGTTTGGATCACGTATGCATGACAGGAGCAACCCCTTGGCTTGCTGTGGGCTTCGAGGCACGACCACCTATTAGAGAAACTGTTGACTTCAGCATAATTTTATTGCACATATAACACATACAAAAATACATAAATGTATACATACACCAAACATGAGCAAAAAATTATCAAGACCCAATGGAAGTACAATACCTTATGAGTTAGGTTTGTAAGCACACAAAGGCACAGTGAAAGCCTCAAGGCACAGTTCATATAGGATATTTGGGTAACCATTAGTCAAATTACCCAAATGTTTCAACCAGCATCATCTATTTGCAATTAAAAGGCTCTTTTCAACTCACTTTTATACCGGTGAACTGAATTTATGCATGCTCAACCAATTTGAGCTTATCTGAGCTAAATTTTAGTTTCCTAAGTTTACACAGTACCCAACCTATGAGGTCCTTGTCCTTTGCATCGCATTTGCATCAGTTGATATATCAATAAGAAAAAGATTGTTACCCAACATTCCAACTAACTAGTCCCATATTACTATGTTGCTTCAGGAAAGCAGTCAACAAAGACTACAGATGAGGATTGTAATGTCTAAAATAACATATTCTATCAGCTCTAGTGTTGCTAACTGCTAAGTAACACGAGCTTGCCAAAAAAAAAAAATGGAAGCTTTTCACAACAAGTGTATTGATAAGTTATTCTATTTATTGTAGATTGGAAAATGGATACAGCAAGCTAAGGTTTAATTCAGCTTGCAAGCCACTTAAAATACACAAACAAAAGAGTGTTAACCATTCAAAAGTTTGAATTTGGATAATTGAGCTAATGACAACACATTAACTGAACAACCATTGCCTTCTATTTTTGGGCATCAAAACTTAATTAAATAAAAAATCATACGTCAAAGATTAAGAAGTAGCATTCGATAAGAGTCAATGGAAAAGTGATTCATGAAAAAAGCAGATATATAAGAGGGGGTAAAAGAGATGTAGATGGACAACTAGATATGAATGATCAACCAAGTGTTCCCTGGAGAATGGGCAGGAAAAAGACAGATACAAAGGACGCACTTTGATACCAGGAACATGGCAAAAGAAAGCTTCGGGAGATTGTGAGTGATAGTGCCCACCATGGCCAACAGCCCCATATGGAGCTCTTATTGTTAGACCTGGAACATAACATGTAAGGCAAATTCAAGGATCTATAGATAGATATTTGAGTGAGCAAAAGCATAAAGAGAAAAGCATTACCTCCACAGTTAAATTGATTCCCACTTCGATACCTGAACTTGGCAGCTTCATTCACAATCTACAAAGCATAGAGTTAGTTTGGAGACTTTGAATTCCAATCATATTAATTCATCATGGAATAGATGCATGCCTGATCAAAAGCTGGATAAATATAATCTGCAAACTGAATTTCCGCAATAGCTCGATTACCCTTGAATAAGACAGAGAGTAAAGGAGAAATATATGAGATATTGTCTGAGAGAAATAAACTTTATTAAAGAAGATACAGTGACAGTCACCATTGCAGCAAGACCAATGCCAAATCCAACAATGCCCTGATGATGAAAGGATGTCAGTAACCAAAAAAAGAAAAAAAAAATAAAGGCAAAAGTTGAGAATGGTCGAAAGAGCAAAACCCCTGTACCTGTTCACAAAGAGGGGTATTGAAAACCCTGTTTTTGCCAAATTGGTCGGCCAATCCAATTGTGCAACGAAAAACCCCGCCAAAACTGACGTCTTCCCCGAAAACGTAAGCACTGATGAACAAGAGCAAAGAGCAGTTGATTGTAACGAGAAATTGAATCCATAAGTGGGGAGAAATTGAAAGATATGTTTAATATGAAGAGACAGTAGGGTTCCGCAATTGCAGAGAGACGAACCGAGGATCGGAGTCTAAGGCGATATGAAGAGCCTGATTGATGGCTGAGAACAGATTCATTGACTTCTGGTTTCCGTTTCGGCAGATATCATCATCCAATTTGATTGGGGGTGGTGGTGATGCTGCTGCTGCAGCACCTGCTGATGATGGTGCCGCTGCTCCTGCTCCAGCTCCTGCTCCTGCTCCTGCTGAATACGCAGCCAATCCTCTCTTTGTTCCCAATCCAATGCCTCGGGCTACAACGTTTATCGTCGCTTTAGAAATTGCCATCCTTCAACACCTCTCTCCGTCTCTTCCTTAGAGATGGTAATTCAGGTATTCTCTCTTTTGCCTAACTAATCAAATCAAATCATTTTCCCACCCACCTTCTTCCCACACGTGTTTTATACTTTCTAATCTTTATCCAGATCTTTTAAATTATTTAATTGCACCCAAAGTGTTAAATATGCCAATTTCATACGAAGTATAATTCTATATTATTATTTCCTTTTTATTTTATTTTTTGCAACCCGAATAAATACGAGTAACAAATCTTTAAACCATTAAACTTGCATCCGTGAGATAAGCATGCCAAATACTCCATCTCATTTATATTATTACTCCATATCCATATCACCGACAAAGGAGTATCTAAAAGCGTGCCAAATACTGAATTATTTATTAATTTTAATTTTTTAATCTTTTCTTTTATAGAATTACATCAATCAAGTGGATTGAAATTACGTATTAAAATCAAGAACAGATATATTGACATTGACTTTATTTACATACGGAGTATAAAATAATGGATTGAGATAAAATGCCTCTAATTTTTAGATTTGAACAAGTTTTGGTGTATCTGTATTAGTAATGGATAAATATGACTAGGTATCCATCGTATGATATCCGAGATTGCCCCACTAAATCTTAAGATTTGGGACGACAGAAGTGCTTGAATATATAAAAGTAAGATTGAAAGGGTCACCAACAGAGTTGCTATAACGAGCAAAATTGAATACTTTGTATATAAGTTATATTTTGAGTAAAAAAGAAACGGAATGGTAAAGAGAAACTCTTGAATCCTCTGTTATGAAGCCTATATATAAGGAGACCTAACTCTAGCAGCTGAAAACCCATCTCAAAATCAAGAGCAATATCATGCTCCCAGGAAGTAATCTAGCCCATTCTTGATAATTCTGCTCATGGACTGTCTCAATATTTCACTGTGATTATTAACATCCTTGGTTGAAGGATTGCGCATTAGAAATGCACTTCAGTGTAGTTATCTATTCCAAGACAGCAAACCAAACAGAAAATCAGGCTTCAAAATTGCAGCTAGCAAAAGCTAGCAACCCTTGGCGACTCCATCCACCGCACCATTTTCAGACACCCCTAACTTGGAAATCTTCGCACATTCCAAACTTTTTGCAAGACCAGCGTCAGAGAACTTGGCCTCACCACTAGGGTGAACAGACAAGGATACCTTGCTCAGATCTAAGGCAACCTCTACTGACTTGCTCAGTTGTTCTCCATTGATTCCGTCTTTATTCTTATCCCCCGTATTCTTCCCTTCCCATACCTGTATTACGAAGGCAGCACACCTTAAATATACACTTTTAAAATAAACTGCATGGTTAACTTAAAAACGAGCTAGTGAAATTGTCAAACCTGCTTATGAAACTGCTGCTGCTTAGCCTTCTTCTCTTGGATAGTCTTCTGACGCACCTCATAGAAGCCAAAGTCATCCAAAATGCAAGTTTTGCTGGTGTGCTCCTTAAATATTTTAAGCATTTGAAGACCTTGCTCCAACTTGATCTACACCAACCAAAAATAAAAAATAAATAAATAATCTGTATGCACTTATGAACTAGAGTATCAGATATACCTCTTGAGTATCTCGACTGTTAGTCACGGGTTTGTTCTCATTGTTTTCAAGAATAATGTTCTTCAACAAGCTGTTAGGCACATCCTTCACCATGTGCCACTTCACTGGGAAATTACCATTCCACTTGTCTTGCTGCCAATACTCAACATTCTTTTGAAAATCAACTGGCCCCACCATTTCTGCTAGGCCAACAAACTGCCCGCTAGTATTAACCTAAACATTGATTTTCAGAAGCATAAGTACATTCGGATTTTCCTGGGAACAGAGTAAACTGCTACAGATTAAAAGTGAATTAACATCAGGCCATAACGGAGAGTCCAAACTCACCGAAAAAAAAAGAAACACCGGATAGCCACTAGACTTCTGCTGAGCTTCCTTGTATGCTAAGTCGAGCTTCTTGTTGCCATTTGGGGTGCTGGACCATACACTGTACTTGATACTCTTGTGCACATCATCCTCGCTGTAAGACTTGATGACAAAGAATTTAGCTTCTGTATAACCTTCATTGAAATCAGGACGATTATATTGTTCTCTATCAGGAATCATATTCAAATTTGCCTTCTCATCCTGACTTCCGCTAGACACATTGCTCTGCCCTCTAACAGCCAACGCAACAGGAGCAGAGCTCCTTATGCTCTTAGACCCCTTAGCTCTGGGGCCCCTGTTGAGCTCATTTAAACCATCCATGTTCTCATTGCCATAACCCAAGTAGCCATTGCCTCTTCCCTTGTTCTTGAACTTGCTATCAACGGCAAACCATGCACGACCATTGATACGCGCATCATACCCATCATTTCCGAAGCCCAGACCTGCTCTTGCACCATTAGTATATTGACCGTATAATTTGTTTGGATACATCCTGTTGATATACCCATGAGTTGCCCCCATGCTAGTCATTGGCCTTGGTTGATGAAAAGTCTACAAATTTTAAGAAACTCATTAAGTTGTATTCAGATGAACCTTGAGGCAAAAAACTGATTATAGAGAAATAACCAATACTTCCATATTCATAGTAAGCCACAACCAGAAGACATGAGGGAAAGTTGAGCATACATTAATTCAATCACTTCATATAGAATCAATTATAATGTGACATTTAGGATGATGACATAACCATCAACCAATACGTCAAAGATTATCTCCATCCGAAAAATTGGCCATATATACTAATTTGGGACATGCAAAATAGGTAATCAGGTTTCCTGAAATTGTAAAAGATGATAATTACGATAATTTTTTTTATAAAATACAGTATTACTGCATTAGAGAGAAAGTGAGATTATTTCCTCCGTTTTTAAAAAGTTTTTATTTTGTTTAAAAAATTTTCGTGAGGCAATCACCATCCAAATAGGAAGAACTTTTAGAGACGAAAGGATTGGTATGCAGAGTCTTAATTCAGAAATACCAAGTTGAAACCTTAGATTGACATTAAAACCTTTGTTTAAAATAATGCACTGATATAGGAATTCAAGTGCCTGTAAATGGCAATCTAAAGTTGGAAAAGGAAGTTGAATTGGTTTCAGCAACAAACACAAGAAAGCAAGGAAGGCATAATGTACCATGACACTAGCATGAGGACACAAATTCTGAGTTGTAGAAGACGGAGGAGGTCCGTTGGCATGTGACACCGATGAAGGAAATGAATTGTTAGTAAGAGGCCTTAGGTGACCATCAGCAAAAACAGGGCCATCTAACCAAGGAAGTGGAGACCTTACTCCATCAAATGCAAATCTTGGATCTTGATAACCAGAAGCAGGAAGAGCAGCAGGTTTCCCATAAGGTGGCATGGTGTATGTAGAGTTGTGATATGCAGGCCTGATATTGGGTCCCTTGGCATTGGCATTTGAAACAGCGTCAGAAGGGTCAACGGAGAGAGGAGTCTGTACAGCGGGGGCAGAGGACACCTCAGGTGGTGGTGGGTTAGTATAAGTTCCAGGAGGAAAATAAGGGGCAGAATATTGATATTGTTGATGTCCAAATAGGTGGGTATCATGTGGCATGGGTGGAACAGGCGAAGTTGCGGGAGAATAGGGAGCATAAGGAGCATAACCAAAGCCATGATACATAAGGGAAGCATTGTCAGCGTAGAGTGCCTGGAAAAAAAGCAAGTGAGTCAATAGAAGGCTAAGGCTGTTACAAAGCTACGGAGTTGGAAATCAAAGAGTTAACTCACTGGAGACATCTCAACTCCATCTTGGTTCATATATCTAGAGTAATCATCCCAGTCATTACAGCTCCCGTCATAGCCTGAAAGCCAAAGGCAAATTGTTATAACACAATTCAATGAAATACCCAATTCAGAGATAGAACACAATTCAAAGATATAAGCAATTCAATTCAAAAATTCATCAAAAAGTAGTTACCGCCATAGTAGTAAGGATAAGTGTTGGGAAGATAACACAGGGAAGGATCCATGAAATCAGGCAGCACTGGAGTCACACATCTGTCGTTGGACCCACCGTTTCCGTTTGGAGTATCCATTTGAGAGGTAGGAGGCTGAATTGAATTGTAATATTCAATAAACTATTCGCATTTAGATAATTGAAATGAAATGAATTGAATTGAAAGGAACCTTTTTGGCGGCCTCGTCCAAATTGGATTGAGGCTGCCCCTGGGAATCCAAAGACAAGTTCTGCAGCAATCCTGCGGCTTCTAAATAAGAGTAAAGGAAATCAACAGTTACAAATTACAGTGAATGAATTCAAAAAATACCAGACAGATCTGAAATAATAAGTAGAAGAAAGGATACGATCAGCGGAAGGTGCAACAGCTGCCATGGCCAGATCTCGGAAACGCTTAAACCCTAAAATAAAATCTGAAAAAAAGGGGTTTATGAGTTTGGCAAGGAAGAGAGATAGAAGAGAGTGAGAAGGAAAAGGGGTAATGGGACTCACTCTCAGCCGCCCGGAAAACAACAATTACTCCTTCCGGCTAAATCTCAACGGCCAGACGAGATACAGATAGAAAGAGCGGCTAAACCCAGGAAAGGGTTTTCTTCTTCAAATTGCTGTGATTCAAATAGCTCCACGGGGGTTACGTGCCCCCACCAAATCAACCAATTACTTGTATTATTCTTCCATTTCAAATTAGATCCCACTTCTTTTTATTTTATTTTATTTTAATGAGATGTTTTGATTTATGATACTATTTACAAACTTTATTTGTAAAGAGTGAGGATAACTCAAATGGTTAGACCTTCTCTTTCAATTTTATGAGATCCTAGGGTTTAATCAATTTGGAAACCTAGGGTTAATTCAATTTGGTTTTTTCATATAAAATCAAATCTAAAAATTATATATGTTAAGCATCATTAAAAACATCATAATTCCTTCATATACCTAAAATCATCAAAGCTTAATTAAGAGAACAAAGCAAGAACAATTCTTTTTTTTTTAAATACCCAACCGCACGCACAAGATGGGTGGCTACAGTCGCCCACTCCTGTCGGCGGTTGTTGCTGCCGGTGACTGCTGGTAATGGTGGTCGGCCAGTGGGATGTGGTGGTGGTGGCCGACCACCTATGGTGTGTGTGTGGGTGGTGCGAGTGGAGTGAAGGAGAGGGGGAAATTAAGGGGGGAAAATAAGAGGAGAGAGAGAAAGTTTATGTAACACCCTAGAAATTCCTTTCCTTTAAAATACCTGTTTTGCTCTTTTTAAATACGAAATAGGAAATTCTAAGACATTACTACCACCGTGAAAACGGCTAAGGCAATTATCAAAGACACACAATGGAAGACTCTCTTTAAAAACCATTCAAAAAAAGTCAACTTAAAGAGTCAAACCAAACGAAAGTAAAGTCAAAGGAAGTCAACTTACAACTTGGAACCATTGTAGGCCCTCATCAAAACCCAAAATGAATGTTAAAAACCTTTGTGTTAGTCTCACAAGCAAATATATATAATAATCAAAGCGAATAAACACATCATATTCTTATGGAAACTAAACATGAATCGCTCTTCACTCATGCCCATCATGAATATGCTTCATCACCTGAAAAGCTTCTCTTTACTTTGTCCCTACTACTCGCCATTAGAAATGGGTCGTCGTAAGGCCAAGATAAAGACAAGGCCAAACAAACATACAAACACACAATCAGCAAAGTTGAGTACATAAGCGTAAACAGTACACACTAACATGTTTTTATCCTATCAACATACAACTTACCTTGTTGCACCTATTTACAAGCATACAACACAACCAACCAATAAATAGCTAAATAAATTGCTTATTTAATTTGATTACACATCGAATGAGTTTCCCACCAAATCCCTGCCCCAAATAAATTGAGGTAAACTACACCAAGTTTTGGTGCGTAATATCTTTCACTTTACGTTGTTTACATATTTTAGACTTGTTGATGATTCTCAATCCGCAACACAATCAATCATCATAATTCATTCAAGCAATCAAACATACCAATTTAATTCTTGAATAATTAGTGACCACATTTAATTTAATGTTGAACCCTCTTTAGACTACATTGGCGTTAAATAACACCTTAAGCGCATAAAGCACCGCAAATCCTATCTCTCGGTGTTTTGAACACCTTAAGTGCACTAGGCACCGCAATATATTTTATTCCCGTGTACTAAGACACTTAATAGCTCAATTCTCATGCTTAAAGCATCAATAAAAATTATATGAACCATAATAAAATTCCCTTTTTATATTCCAAAACAAATTAAACATTTAGTTTAATTAAACATGCTCTCAATCATGCCAATAATAAAAGTGTGGTTCATATTCAATGCCAACATAATTAATTCCAATCATCTATTCACCTCAAATAATCCATACTTCACAAATCAATCACCAACATCAACTCAATCAACAATTCCAACCAATACCTATCATGATACTACCTTAGAATTAATTAAACAAAGCCTATAATGCATCTACACACTTAAATAAATACCGAGTACGCGAACGTACCTCGAATATGATCTCAAAATCACTCACTTGGAAGTCTCCTACAACCCAAAATTACAAAGAGACATTAATACCTATTCATAATAAATTTCCAGCATTATATACACTCTTTAATTCACTTTTAAACCCTCTAAACATGCTGATAATTAATTTAAACCACCTACTTTTATTTCCAATTAATGGGTAATTAAAAATCCTTTCAAGAAACATAATTCTAACCTTTATATAAAAATTCCAACATTATAAAAACATATAAACTTGCTGTAATTTTAATCAAAAACATTAATTTCAATAGTTTTCATCAACTACAATCAAATCTCATCAATAAACAATAATTTAGAAACCTAGGGTTTTTACTTTGGGGCTTTTTGATTCAAAAACTAAATCTGAAAAATTATACGAATACTAATCATAATTAAAACATCATAAAATCATCACACAACTGTAAACGTCATTCGAAGCGCGCCTACTTAAGCATGTTGTGAATATGCTTGGCACTCATAGGAAGTGGGAAATGACACACGATTGGGGACACGATTAGGGATAAAGCAAAGTAGGGAGCCGCCAACAAGTTTTTAAAGAACTTGTAAACCGTTCACGGATCATTTAAGGCAACCACGATTAAGGGACAACGATAGGCAACAACGATTGACCCGAAAAGGTTACACTCCATTCATAATCCATGAGATTACTAACTCCATATGGTTCGGAACCACGAAAGGAGGATCGGGGATGATGGTACGAAGTGAGTCATGGAGCCACATTCGCCTGTATTGGCCTCTACTCGATTCTTATTGTGAAAAGTATTCTTGCGATCTCAAAGGCATGCAAACAAAGATTCAATTTACTCCAAACTAATATTAGGCTAAATTGGTTAAATGTTAATGCAACACATAATTCTAAAATATTGTGACCACTTGATTAAGCAACAAGATTAAAAAGGATCCTAAACTGGTCGTCCAAATTATCTTATTAAGCGTTGTGTTCAATTACATATTCCCTTTAAACATGCAATGTGGTGATCAACAATAAACAATAGAATAAACATCAAAATTGGAAGCAATTTAACCATGAAAACGCAACGGTTAGTATATGAAAAACATAATAAAAACCGTTAGAAATATAATAGGAACAAAAGGAACATGATTCCTTACTTTGATTGTTTTTGATTGCAACTATAAAACAATAATTAAACGCGTTAATAACTTCAAGGAAAATAATAAACAACAATGGAAATTAAATTAAATTAAAGTAGAGTTGATTTGGGGCCAAACCCTCAAACAGTTCTACCTTTCACACCTTGGTTTAAGTTTAGAACTTCGGGTAAAGTAAGGACTCCGGGGAGTGCTTAAGGGATGTATTGTGAAAGAATATGGTAGGCTAGTGTTTAGGTTAGAGTATGAGAGAGAGAGAGAGAGAGAGAGAGAGAGAATGATTTGGTGCCCCGAAATTGAGAAATCAACCTCGTATTTATAGAGAAAACGTGAGGGGGTGAGGCACGAAACCCTAGAATTGAAATGCGCCGTGGAGAAACCCTAGATAATTGCCGTGTCACGGCAGAAATTTCCGCGACACGGTGCAATTTGCCGTGACACGGCAGGAATTGCCGTGGGGCGGCATTTCTGCCGTGACACGACAAATCTGTTTTCCAGAAATCCGTCCAAATTCATTTTAACCTTTTTATTAAGCATTAAGTACGTGATATTTAGGCGTCGTTTCATCTGTTCCTGGTTTATTTCAGATTTAGGGTTTTATTATTTTATTAATCGGGCTTAATTAATAAATAACACGAAATGAATTAAAAAGGGTTTGGGCTAAAATGTGGGTTGGACTGAGTTTGAATAATTGTTTGGACTGATTAGTAGATTGAATATGTTTTTAAATACTCGACCCGACCAATAATGGCGGTGAAAGTTTGTTCATCATCGGGTTTGGTTTTGGGGAGACATTTTTAGGTGTCTACAAAAGCCCTCACTTTGATTGAGTTTGCAGAAATGCAAGTTTCAAATATGATAGTCAAAGTAGTTTCTTGGGAAGGAGAATGATTTAAGATGTTCTGCTATTCTAAATCACTTTGTATATGCCAATACCTGCAGAAAAGCGTTAGTTCCACAGATAAAAGAGTAAAGGGATAAAATGCGTATCTGACACCAGTACATGGCACAAACACATTTTGGTAGTTTTCTACGCCTCGAGAAATCCACCGAATGATAATTTTCCACGCCTCGGGAATTCTATTGTGAACCACTACACCTCGAGCGATCCACTAGATAAAAGGTGACAAACTTCCACGCCTCGGGAAACATGTCGTAAACTCCTACGCCTCGAACAACCTACTGAATGATGATCTTCCACGCCTCGGGAAGACTAATATGAGATAGTTTCCACGCCTCGGGAACCCTATCGTGAGCTCCTACGCCTCGAGCAGCTCACAAGTGAAAGGTGACAAGTTTCCACGCTTCAGACAACATGTCGTAGACTCCTATGCCTCGAGCAGCATATTGAATGATGATCTTCCACGCCTCGGGAATTATGTTAGATGATATTTTTCCACGTCTCGGGAATCCTCGGGAATTCTGTTAGATGATATTTTTCCACGCCTCGGGACATAATCGTCGACTTCTACGCCTCGAGAAGTGTGCAACGACCGACAATTTTCCACGCTTTGGGAAAAGCTTGCCTGATAATAAAAATTACAAGTCTCTACGCCTTGACAAACTTGCAACGTGAATTGCCCACGCCTTGGGACACAATCGCCGTCTTCTACGCCTTGAGAAGTGTGCAACAACCGACAATTTTTCACGCCTCGGGAAAAGCTTATCTGATATGAGATAGTCTATGTCCACGCCTTGGGACACAATCACCGACTTCTACGCCTCGAGAAGTGTGCAAAGACCGACAATTTTCCACGCCTCGAGAAAAACTTGTCTAATAATAAGAAATTACGTACAAGTCTCTACGCCTCGAGAAACTCGCAACGTGAATCGTCCATGCCTTGGGACACAATCGCCAACTTCTACACCTTGAGAAGTGTGTAACGATCGACAATTTTCCACGCCTCGGGAAAAACTTGTCTAATAATAAAAATTACAAGTTTCTACGCCTCGAGAAACTT